CATATGACTTACTCTAGGCTTGAATGTTTTAGGAAGTGACGATTTTATGTTTCTGTCAGTTTGATCAGTTTCTATCTGTTTAAAGTGGGAGACCACTTTCTGTTCCCATAGAGATTTACAGCCTCGGAAACCCTTTACAGAGTCACTATGAGTCACAACAGACTAGATGGCACACAACAACAATAACATCTGTCTAACTGACAAAGAAGCAGAAGAACTATGTCTTAATTCCAAGTTCTTAACACTAGCTAGTTATATGATCATGAGTAAATCTTTAATCTATTCTTTAATTTACCCATATGCAAAATGGACTGGATGATTTTTTTCATAGACACTTCCATTTATAACATTTTGGGATCTATCCTCTCTTGACCTTTTGAATTTTTGAACTGAGAAGTATTTGAAATGTAACAGTCTGTGAGTTGTTGGGAAATGGCAAACATGAAATTAAAATATTAGTATTCAAAAGATGACAAATAAACATAAAGAAATACGAGTACCTACAGTTACAGTCTTAGCATCCATCTCAGTGAATATGAATTCTCCTCCTTCAAAGTCATCATTCATATACAGGAGAGCACTAGAAGAAGAAAGGGAACATTTCGAGTGAGGTCATGTGTCACAATGTGGGTCCAGGCCACTATGTTTTTTAGGGCAATTTTGGCTGCATTTTTTTTTTTTTAAATATAACTAGTTACTGATCAGAACCATTGTCTTTGCTAAATCTGAGGATGAAGAGTGAAACTGCAATCATCATACATCTTTCCAACCTCCTACCAGGCTGAATACTGATGGGGGAGTAGCAGAGAGTAATGTCTTGTATCTCCATATTTATGTTAACAAGCCGTACATAACCACCTCATGTACGCCAGGTACTAGGACAAGAATCCAGAGTGGTGTAGTGTGGGAAAGACGAATACAAAGGTAAGTGAAAGGCTATATTGATTACCTGAAGGTGGTATGAAGCGATGACAACCAATAATGATAATAATTGTAACTAGCAGATAGTGAGCACTATCTAGGTGACAGGCACTTTGCACAATAAAGGACACAGGTGCTCAGTCACTTGCCCAGATTTGAGCTAGGATTCAAGCCTAGACAGACCCCAAAATTCCCACCACCCTCCCTCCAAAACAAAACAAAAAAACAAACCTATTGCCACTGGGTTGACTCTAACTGAACAACCCTTAAGAAGTCCTGATGTGGCACTGGAGAATAAGCACTAAACTGCAAGGTCAGTTTAAACCACAAGGTCAGCAGTTCAAACTCACCAGATGCTCATCAGAAACCCTATATAGGGTCACTATACAGGGGACAGACTATACAGTATTTAACAACAACAACAAAACCCTATGGCACAGAGTGGAAATGCATAAGGCTTCCATGGCTTTAATCTTTACAGAAGGTGACTCTCACATTTTCTCCCTGCAGAATGATTGGAGGAGTCCTGGTGTGGTGCTGTGGGATAAAGCACTGGAGAGCAAGGTCGGTTTGAACTACAAGGTTGGCAGTTCAAACTCACCAGCCGCTCCTTGGAAACTCCATATTGTTGTTGTTATGTGCCATCAAGCCGGTTCCGACCCAGAGTGACTCAACTACACTAACAATTGCTGACCTTTCAGTTAGCAGCCTAGTGCTTAAATACTGCACCACCAGGCTCCTTCTCTAAAGCTAAAGCCAAACCACTGACTTGATTTTGACTCATGGCAATCTTCTAAGATAGAGCAGAAGTACCACATTAGGGTTCCAAAGCTAGAAACCTTTATGGAAGTAGGCAGCCACATTTCTCTCCCCCAGAGTGGCTGGTGTGTTCGAACTAGGCCCTTCAGTGTGTTGCTAATTGCTTTAACCACTGAGACATCAGGGTTCAAAGCCTACTTAGTTTCAAATCCCAGTGCATTACTTACTAGCTATGTGGCCTGGCCAATTTACTTAATCTCACCTAAAAAATGACAAAAATCCCTTCTTTATAAGAGTGTCTGGTGATTAAATGATATATTTCCAATAAAATACATAATTTTGTGCACAGTTGAGTAATAGCCATTCTTATTACTTTGAGCCCTGGCGTAGCACTATAAGCTAAGTACTAGACTACTAACAATAAAGCCGGCAGTTCAAACCCACTAGCCACTTTGTAACCTTATACAGGTTTGTTATGAGTCAGAACCAATACAATAGCACCTAACAATAACAACAACATTCTTCTTATTGTATACTAACAATAATAGTAGCATCATAAAACACTGAAGACTGGTGAGGAATGACCAGGTTAACTTCTCAGAACTAGAGATTGAAGTAATTGACCCTTGTAGCCCTTGATGTAAGAATAAATGTTGTTGGGATCATCATTCTGCTGGAGTATGCGTTTATTCTACATAAGTTAAAATTTTAGTCATATTTCAAAAGTTATCTAACATTTTTTTTTCCTCCAAAGAAAATTTAATCTAGCCCTCTGAACCTGCCCATACTACTTATAAACTCTTTTTTTCCCTTGTGTTGTTGTTGTTGAGTACCGTCGAGTCGGTTATGACTCATAGCGACCTTGTACAGGGTTTCCGAGGCTGTAAATCTTCATGGGAGCAGAAAGCTTCATCTTTCTCCTATGGAGTGGCTGGTAGTTTCGAACTGCTGACCTTGAGGTTCACAGCCCAGTTCATAACCACTACGCTATCAGAGCTCCTTTTTCCCCTTGTTGTTGTTGTTGTTAAGTACTGTGGAGTCGGCTCCGACTCATAGTGACCCTGTGCAGGGTTTCCAAGGCTGTAAATCTTTATGGGAGTAGAATGCCTCATCTTTCTCCCGCGGAACCGCTGGTAGTTTCGAACTGCTGACCTTGAGATTGGCAGCCCGATTCGTAACCACTACGCTACCAGAGCTCCTTGTTGTTGTTGTTGTTGTTGTTGTTAAGTGCCGTCGAGTCGCGTCCGACCCATAGCGACCCTGTACAGGGTTTCCGAGGGTGTAAATCCTTACGGGAGTAGAAAGCCTCATCTT